GCTTAGGCAGTCCATTCCTACCTTTCCTACCTTGCTGTGGGTACTGGTCTTCTTATCTCCACTCAATCATATATTAGAGCTTGTAAAACTTGAGATCATGACAGGGTGAAGTAGAATGCGTCTGCCTTTGTCATTAAGACTGAGAGCACTACTCAGTAGCAGGCCGACTTAGCTCTAAAAGAAATGGCCGCTTCTGACATGAGGAAAAGACGCCACGTGCAGCCGTTCCTAACATGGAGTGCAAACGCTAGGGCACTGGTATTGGCTGTAAGTGTCCTGTAGGAAGTTGTGACTGTCTTTTGCATCACTGACAACAGTCTTGACAATGATCCACATACCTTATAACATTCCTATAAATTCCAGGCCAATAGAATGTTTTCTTATTCGGTCATAGGCTGTTGTTGGGTGCTGTGCTGCCTGGAGTATAGGAGCTCTATCTATGTTTCCTTTCCTGTGGTGAATCTGTATAAGACCGGCGGTCTTAATAAAGTTGTTGTTGTTGTCTTATTCGGTCATAGGTTGTTGTTGAGTGCTGTGCTGCCTGGAGTATAGGAGCTCTATCTATGTTTCCTTTCTTCCTGTGGTGAATCTGTATAAGACCGGTGGTCTTAATAAAGCTGTTGTAGTTGTTGTTGTCTTATTCGGTCATAGGTTGTTGTTGAGTGCTGTGCTGCCTGGAGTATAGGAGCTCTATCTATGTTTCCTTTCTTCCTGTGGTGAATCTGTATAAGACCGGTGGTCTTAATAAAGTTGTTGTAGTTGTTGTTTTATTCGGTCATAGGTTGTTGTTGGGTGCTGTGCTGCCTGGAGTATAGGAGCTCCATCTATGCTTCCTTTCTTCCTGTGGTGAATCTGTATAAGACTGGTGGTCTTAATAAAGTTGTTGTTGTTGTCTTATTCGGTCATAGGTTGTTGTTGGGTGCTGTGCTGCCTGGAGTATAGGAGCTCCGTCTATGCTTCCTTTCTTCCTGTGGTGAATCTGTATAAGACCGGTGGTCTTAATAAAGTTGTTGTTGTTGTCTTATTCGGTCATAGGTTGTTGTTGGGTGCTGTGCTGCCTGGAGTATAGGAGCTCCGTATATGCTTCCTTTCTTCCTGTGGTGAATCTGTATAAGACTGGTGGTCTTAATAATTATATGGTACATGGTGGTCTTAATAATAATCTTAAGAACTCTCGGACAAAACTTAATGAAGTTGTACCTTTTAACATGTATATCGGGATTCAGACAATACACTCATGGACAAAACTTAAGGAAGTTGTACCTTTTAGCATGTATATCGGGATTCAGACAATACACTCATGGGCAAAACTTAAGGAAGTTGTACCTTTTAACATGTATATCGGGATTCAGACAATAAACTCATGGACAGAACTTATGGAAGTTGTACCTTTTACCATGTATATCAGGATTCAGACAATACACTCATGGGCAAAACTTAAGGAAGTTGTACCTTTTAACATGTGTATATCGGGATTCAGACAATAAACTCATGGACAAAACTTAAGGAAGTTGTACCTTTTAACATGTATATCGGGATTCAGACAATACACTCATGGACAAAACTAAAGGAAGTTGTACCTTTTAACATGTGTATATCGGGATTCAGACAATACACTCATGGACAAAACTAAAGGAAGTTGTACCTTTTAACATGTGTATATCGGGATTCAGACAATAAACTCATGGACAAAACTTAAGGAAGTTGTACCTTTTAACATGTATATCAGGATTCAGACAATACATTCATGGGCAAAACTTAAGGAAGTTGTACCTTTTAAAATGTATATCGGGATTCAGACAATACACTCATGGACAAAACTTAAGGAAGTTGTACCTTTTAGCATGTATATCGGGATTCAGACAATACACTCATGGACAAAACTTAAGGAAGTTGTACCTTTTAGCATGTATATCGGGATTCAGACAATACACTCATGGACAAAACTTAAGGAAGTTGTACCTTTTAGCATGTATATCGGGATTCAGACAATACACTCATGGACAAAACTTAAGGAAGTTGTACCTTTGAGGTTGTATATTCGGGATTCAGACAATAACTCTGAAAGATATTACAGTGACCTTTATTGAAGACACACGAGATAACCAAGTGTAAACAAAATTATATCTGTCTCCTTCAAAAAAAAAAAAAAAGGACGACCGGATGACATCAAAGACTTACCACTTTCTTAATTTTTGTTAATGAGTGTATATGTTATTATTTAGAGAGAATAACAATGACTTATAACAATCATAAACCTGATAGATTTTAGAAAGTTTAAAAATACATATATAATATATAGATGGCGTCTGGTTTTAGACATCTATTTTGACGGGAGAGGCGACCCTTGTCTCTTTAGATCAATTTCCTCCCGGCAAAATTTCCATATATATTTATTTATATTAGAGATTTATATATATATATATATATTTATATATTGAAAATAGAGCAATCCATATTTAATTCATTAGATAATAAAAAGGCATATATTGGATTTAATTAATTAATTTATTTTGCTAATATTTCGGCTGGCTGAACGCCAACCTTTATCGAGGCATTACATCTTTTGATTCAAAAGATGTAATGCCTCGATAAAGGTTGGCGTTTAGCCAGCCGAAATATTGGCAAAATAAATATTTTATAAAATCCAATATATGCCTTTTCATTATCTAATATATATATATATATAAACAGCATATATTCAGAATAAAAATAAAACATTATAATATTTATATAAAATCCAATAAATATATTATCAGCTTTAATGTCTGGTCCACAATTTCTGTCAAAACACGAGTCACTTTGTCATAAAATTTCTCTCTTAAAAGACTTTTTTTATTATTATTTTTATTACGAAGAAAAAAAAAACATTCAACAAAAACACACAAGTCATTGAAAATATTTTAAGATATAAAAAAAAAATATTTTAAAAAATCAATAAAAAACAACTTTTAGTTTTACCCTAAATCTATCTATATATTTTCTATTTACTTCTTTGAAAAAAAAAAAACTATTTGGAAAATAAAGTCAAATAGAAATATACTTTGAAATATATTGGAAAAAGTTTAAATGAAACATCACATTTTCTCTACTTCTCTTTCTAAATATATTCCAATTTTAGTAAAAAAAAACTTATGAAATCAATCAAAAAGTATTGCGACAAAGTTAGGATTACTAAATTTAGGCTTAAAACCTTTACACCAATTTATTCGTGAATGTTGTATACCAGAAGATCTATTTCTAGAGTAGAGAATTTCTATCCAAAAATAAAGAAATCAATAATCGAAAAATAAATTGTATAGATTTACGTGGTCAATAAAACCGATATTGGAAATAAATTAAGTTTTTTTTTCTCGTTCGTTTTACTTCATTTCTAAAATGATGCAGACGATTGAAGTGTAGACAAGGGTTAACTGGTGTTTTGTTGTTAGGTTTGAGAAGATGTTTCCATGTCCACCAATGGTCACTTTATCCATGATCAAATCGGTAAGTTTTTAATTATAAATTAATTTATTAATTATACTATCCCATAGATGTCTTCTATATATAACACAATAGTTCACGAATTTATAAAATTTAATTTGAAGTCTCGAGATATCATTCAACCAGCACGTATCATTCACCACGCACGTTTTTTTTTTCAAACAGAAATAATTAATTAAAAAGTCATATATTGGATCAAAATATCATTTATTTTACCAATATTTCAGTTGGCTGAACGCCAATCTTTATCAAGTTTATTTTGATCCAATATATGTCTTTTTAATTAAAGATTTATTTATGGATTGCTCTATTTTCAAAACAGAAATAATATATTTTTCTCTCAGTATATAATAAGTATTTAAAATATGTATATAATAATGTGTAATAATAAGTTGTTAATGTGATAATCCTGTTGAAGGACTGACATGTCCGAAAGCTTGAAAGTAAAAAAAGTTGCACAAGAAACTTAAATCCTGGAAGCTTCATTTATTTTATATAATTTATAATATATTTGCGTGCTATCTATTATGAAAATTCAAAACTATTATAGACACGTATGATTCTTTAAAAAAAAATAAACAATTTTCTACTGACCTTACTGGAATGAAAAAAAAAATTAATGGGAGGGTATTAATAGTGGTATGGTAGATTAAACTGGCGAAACCGCTGGGAGGGTTCACCACTGATGAGCCAGGCCCTCCCATTAATTTTTCCATTGCAATAAGGGCAGTAGAAATTTGTTTAATTTTTAAAAATAATCATACGTGTCTATAATAGTTTCGAATTTACTAACTATTTAATTTGTATTGTAAGCAACACAGTTACCCAGAAATTATTTGAAAAAGTAAAAATAAATAAAAAAGTTTCTTTTAATTTAAATTTGCAAGCTTTCGAGCAAATATACTGCTCTTCAGCGGGCTGATATTCTATGTACAATCTCTTAATAATCTTTATACAAAATAATTGAAAAACTTTTGTTATTGACATGTGATCATTTAATTTGTAAGTTCACAATTCACATTAAAAAATAAACCCATTTATCAATATTAAGATTAAAAATATCATATTTCTACGGATAAATAAAAAAAAATAATAAAAAAAGACAACTCTTAATCGTGCAACTTAAAAATTGCTGATGGCTTGCGCCATCTATCGGAATAAATATCAACTAATTACAAGAGAAAGAATCGCCAGACATCTTTTCGAAGAAGGAATCAAAGTTTACGGTGTCGAGTTTATTTGAGTGGTATAATCTTGGCTAGCTTTCGGAGTATAACCTCCTTCAACAGGTTGCAATACAAGACACTAGAGAGAGACAAATCATAATTAAGTTACTATAGAAGAAACTAGATTATGATTATATGAACTACTAGCCGAATGACCCGGGCAACACCCGGGTTTTACCCTATTAAATGCTTTTATTCAAATACTATTCGTTACAATGATAAATTGGCGCCGTGGATGTCATTCTTGTATAATATATAAATGAGTTTTAAAAATTGTAAAAAAAAAAAAAATGCATCGGCCGGGAATCGAACCCGGGCCGCCCGCGTTGCAGGCGAACATTCTACCATTGAACCACCGATAGTTATGAGAAATGGCCATATTTGGGTATTTATTCCATTCACAAAGCAAACGGTGACAGAATTGATTAAAAAAGAATTGATTATGACGCTGATAACTGTATATAACAACAACAACAAAAGCCTTTATTTAGGACATTCCGCCCCATATAGGATTCGCCGTATTTACACGTCAACAAGAGGAGAGGGAAGAGGAAACATTTACAACAAAATAAAGTTTGTCTCACATTCAGTTACCTATTTACAGATAGTTCATCCTCCAGTATCCTTTGCCCTGCATTCTTTCTCATGCGCCCAGCTTCTGTGCAGAACTTATAGTATCTTAACAATTAGTAATTCACACACACACACAAAAGCCTTTATTAAGACACACAGGTCTTACAGAGGATTCTCCTTGGGGTTACAAAACGGAGAAACCTATGAAAGTGGGAAATAAAAAATGGAGAAAGATTATATACATTTGGTAAATATATACAGATTATAAGAAAGAATAAAAAAATAAGAAGAATAAAAAAAAAATCAAAAAAAGAAAAAGAAAAAAATTTGGAAATATGGATGGGAGAAGTGGAGAGCGAAAAGAGGAAAGAAAACAGGTATTTACATATGGACAATTAGTAATTCATCAGTCAGAGCTGAAGAGATAAGTTGACATATGTGATAACTGTATATATTAATGATTATTCTCTGGTTTCTTCTATATAGTAACCTAATCATTATTATTCTCTAGTTTCTTGTATTGTAGCCTGTTGAAGGAGGTCATAATTCGAAAGCTAGCCAAGATTATACCACATAAATAAACTCAACGCCGTAAACTTTGATTCTTTCTTCCAAATATGAACTTATCGTTGATTTTTTTAAAATTTTATTCCAGAATTGTGGCCAAAAATTCTGTTTTTTGGTTAATCAAGAAAAGTTAATCATATACGCGTTTAGGGTTGTTGGCCCTTGTCAGCGTAGTGCAAGCTGTACTTCAACGACCAAAATGGCTAGTCTTTGGGACATCTTAAAAAAAACATTTATCCACCTGATCCAAGTACAAATTCATTTTTTTACTATTTTACATTGGATAAGTTTATTTTTATTCAATTTATTTTATTATAAAATAAATGAAGCTTCCAGGGTTAAGTTTCTTGTGCAACTTTTTTTTTTCAAGATTTCCGACTTGTCAGTCCTTCAACAGGATTATCTCACGTTAACAACTTAATAATAAATATACAATTTTTATATATACATATTATTAAAAAATGAAAGGATTTAAAAGCACGGATGTTTCTTTTATACATAATACAAACTTCTACTATCCTTACTGCGATGAAAAAATATATTGGGAAGGCTTGGCTCATCAGTGGTGAACCCTCCCAGCGGTTTCGCCAATTTAATCCTCCAGACCGATTCTCAGAGCTCTAATACTGTATTGGATCATTCTGCTTATATACGCAGCACTGAAGGATGGAATTTCAGAAATGGTTTTCAAGAACACTATGGACATAAGCTTATAGGACAGTAGAATTACATTCAAATATTTGCATCGAGCAATGCTCTTCTGCAAACAATAAAGACAAGACATAATATACACACATTATTATATACATATTTTAAATAGTTATTTATATTGAGAGAAAAATATATTACATTATTTCTGTTTGAAAAACAAAATTTTTTGAAAATATACGTGTGTTGTGGATGATACATGCTGGTTGAATGATATCTCGAGACTTCAAATTTATTTTAAAAGAGTCGGTGGACGAGTAGGTAACACCCTCGATTCCCGACAGTCATGAACCAGGATTGTATCCCACGTTAACATTTTGTTTTAATATGTGAATAACCTTCACATTCATTGTTGTAAATATCATAAACTTGGTTGTTGAGCGGTACCTAGTAAAGTGATTTTGGAACATAGCAATTTATTTTGATCAAAACCATTATAGAAGTTCGTTTTATGTATAAAAGAAACATTCGCGCTTTTAAATCCTTTTATTTTACATTATTAACTTATTAATTATTTAGTTAATAAACACACACACACCCAGTAGGTTCCTGGAGTACAGAAGTTACCCGGGATGACATCTTGGTTTTATTTACAATGTCAGTGGAAGTCCTGAGGTGGACACTTATTTACATATAAGATATGTATTTATATAGTTAACACCCAGTAGGTTCCTGGAGTACAGAAGTTACCCGGGATGACATCTTGGTTTTATTTACAATGTCAGTGGAAGTCCTGAGGTGGACACTTATTTACATATAAGATATGTATTTATATAGTTAACACCCAGTAGGTTCCTGGAGTACAGAAGTTACCCGGGATGACATCTTGGTTTTATTTACAATGTCAGTGGAAGTCCTGAGGTGGACACTTATTTACATATATGTATTTATATAGTTAACACCCAGTAGGTTCCTGGAGTACAGAAGTTACCCGGGCTGACATCATGGTTTTATTTACAATGTCAGTGGAAGTCCTGAGGTGGACAGATTTATTTCTTGGGAGATTTTCTAGGAACTTAGGTTGGTGGTCTCTAGGAGGATGGCTGTTGTACCTTTTACCATATATATCGGGATTCAGACAATAACTCTAAAAGATATTACAGTGACCTTTATTGAAGACGCACGAGATAATCAAGTGTGAACAAAAAGGTATACTTTTAACATGTATATCGGGATTCAGACAACACACTCATGGACAAAACTTAAGGAAGTTGTACCTTTTAGCATGTATATCGGGATTCAGACAATACACTCATGGACAAAACTTAAGGAAGTTGTACCTTTTAGCATGTATATCGGGATTCAGACAATACACTCATGGACAAAACTTAAGGAAGTTGTACCTTTTACCATGTATATCGGGATTCAGACAATACACTCATGGACAAAACTTAAGGAAGTTGTACCTTTTACCATGTATATCGGGATTCAGACAATACACTCATGGACAAAACTTAAGGAAGTTGTACCTTTTAGCATGTATATCGGGATTCAGACAATACACTCATGGACAAAACTTAAGGAAGTTGTACCTTTTAGCATGTATATCGGGATTCAGACAATACACTCATGGACAAAACTTAAGGGAGTTGTACCTTTTAGCGTGTATATCGGGATTCAGACAATACACTCATGGACAAAACTTAAGGGAGTTGTACCTTTTAGCATGTATATCGGGATTCAGACAATAACTCTGAAAGATATTACAGTGAACAGTTGCTTCAATTTTGATTTGAACAATCATTTTCTCTCAATACCACAAAATGATTGAGAACAAAAATTATTTTAAAAACCACAAATCAATAAAAACAATTAGCTGTCTCCAACAAGAAGGCATTTGTGCTTATATAATTAATTAGATTTAATTAAAGTTAGAAATATATTTTAATTTTTTTTATCTCTTCGTTCATACTGGGGAGTGTTGTAATTATAGGTGGTCGAGTTAATTGTGATAATTATTTTTGGGGTGGAGGTTTTAATTAATTTGTGGTAATTAAAACGATTTTTGATGTAGTGGCTTACTGTTATTGGATTGAGGTGTGTCCTGTACATTGTTGTCATGTTTTTTATATATTTAATGTACACTTATATTGACGTGTTTAACTGGCAAAGTAGCTAAGACATATCTGTTGCCAAAATGTGAACGGAATAGCCTCAATAGTTGGCGTCTACTTTTGACGTCTATTTTGACGGGAGAGGTGACTCCTTTTTATAGATCATTCTCCTCTCGACAAAATTTCCATCCGATTTTGTTGTTATTTCTTGTTTTCTCTCTATACACTCATGGAGAAAGTAGAAAGTCTTTGATGTGGCCGGTTGTCTTCTTTTTTTTTTTTTTTTTTTTAAGGAGACAGAGGTTGTTTACACTAGGTTATCTCGTGTGTTTTCAATAAAGGTCACTGTAATATCTTTCAGAGTTATTGTCTGAATCCCGATATATATGGTAAAAGGTACAACTTCCTTAAGTTTTGTCCATAAGTGTAAATGCCTGCATGCAATATCACAATGGTCTCGGTGGATTAAACTGGCGAAACCGCTGGGAGGGTTCACCATTGATGAGCCAGGCCCTACCAAAATATATTTTATGGCAGTAAGGACAGTAGGAGGAGAGGATGTTTTAATTATAGATTAGCAAATCTCGCTAAAATTGTATCCTTTCTTGTGTAGAGCGTTTATTATTATTATCCCTAGTACACATGATACAGACCATGATAATCATGGTGGGTAGTAGTTGGCGACTGCTTTTACTGTAAGCGCACCACATATCTACACATGTGAAAAGCAGTTCGACCTCTGCACTTACAAATGTGCCAGAGTCCTGTTTGGTTACTTACATTCGCTGATTGGTTTGGACTTTTGCAAGAATCGGGGGCCATTGGAGCATTATTTATTTATTTTTATTAGAAAAAAGTGCCCAATGCAGAATTTGATCCCAGGTTGTAGCGGTCGAAAACCAACGGTTTAGACGAAATACGAATTTGAAAACGAAGAATTTTCAAATTTATTGTATATGTATTAAATCATATATCATATTTTTTTAGCACGAAATATTTAAATATTAAACAAAAAAGACGTTTTCTATTTCAGAAACCAGTTCAAATTTATGATACCACACGCCAGGGCCATTTCAAAAACAAACAAAACTCGAAAAAAAAAAAATCGATTCCTAAAATGTCTATAATTTCGTGCCAAAAGACAGATTGAAACCAATATGGCGGCTTCCTTGTTTTGGCGGGAAGATAGTCAGTCGTCTCCGCCACGGCGACCTTGATGACTCTAGTAGAACACGTGATTAATTAATTAATGGAATCGGAAATCTGCTGCGTGAAAATGAGCCAAGGTGGCGAATATTCAAGCAGACGAGACGTGTCACGCATCATTGCCGTCTCTCGTGAAATCTTCTGCCCCATTTAATATGTCTGTCACAGCGTCTTATGCAAATACCTATGTAAAACATGGTCTAATCGGAATTATTGATGAGAATCTAAATGTAAATATATTCAAAACTTGCCTAA